CTATTATTTGAACTTTATAGTCGAGCTCAATTCGTTCTACCTAAAAATTGAGTCACTAAATCAATATTTTATTCTTTTTTAATCACGTTCAATTGTTTTTCATTCATAAAAATACCTAAAAATAAAATGTGGAGAATATTTTATCGTAATACTCTAGTCAAACTAGTCAAATAAAATAAAATAATAGAAAATAAATATTTGCTAAGTAATGACAACTATAAAAGGGAAAAAAGTGAAACTATGTGAACAAGTCTTTTTTAATTAAGATAAATTTATAATGAGAGAACCTAAAAAGAGAAAAACAAACAAAAAACAACGGAGAGAAAGTCAACTTAAAGCTTGAAAAGAAAGAAGAAAGAGGAAGAAGAAACTGAAAAGGAAAAGAGAGAAGACAACATTATAAATTTTGTCGTGCCTTCATTTTAATAGTTAGTTATAACAATATCAATTTCCTGTTGTAGGGTCAGTTATAATAAGGCCCTGTTTGATTTGGCAATTTTTCGATGGAACTTGGAAATGAAATTCCATCTTCCACCAAAAGTCATGTTTGATTGGAAAAAATTTCTTAGCAATTCATTTTCCATATTTGCCTCACACGGTTCCAATTCCATGGTTTTGAGGAAAATCAATTCCCACCAATTTGGTGGGATTGGTTTTCCAGGCTATTCTTTTTTTTTTTTTTTTTTTTGCAATGGAAACAATTTTTGTCCATTTAATGGACAATTTCTATTAAAACAAAGTCAAACGAACACCAAAAGATCCAAAATTTCAATATTTTTCACGTGAAAAATTATACTAATCAAATACAATTAATTGACAATTCCCAATAAAATAATTCTAGGCAATTCAATTCCTTGAGATTCATTTTCTTTCCATCCAAATTCCACTCTTGTAATCAAACGGACCCTAAGGCCCTGTTTCATTACAAGAATTCTTTGGAAAATGTCACATCCGAGAAAAATGAATTCAACTTTGGTCGTTTGATTGCAATGTGGAAATGGAAATCGAATTACAAGGTACAACCACTTTAAGCTGCATTTTCTTTGTTTTCATGGAAAACGAATTCCTATGGGTTTGGTGAATTTTTATTTTCCAACTAACATGGAATTGAAATTCATTTCCACATTTGCCTATCAAACGTACCCTAAGAGAAATGGTAAACATAGATAAGATTTAACATGTTTTTATTTTTAATTACGTTCAATGCCATCTATTAAGTATGCTTGCTCTCTGTCTGACGTCGCCTTTTAATTAATCATACTTGAACTCCTAAGCTTTTTTTTTTTTTTTTTTTTTAATGAAAAGAGCAATCCATTAAAAACGTACAAAACGGATACAAGGAGGATAACCTCCAACACATCGCCCTCCTAAGAGAGATTAAGTGCAACCCAAGTGCAACAAAACAACAACTATACAAGACACAACCACAAATAGAACAGACCACGAAAACAAACACGACCCAACAACAGACACAGCCAATAAAAGTCTAAAAACATCTGTGACTTTACAGTACAAAAGAAACCCGACTGAAAGCCAACTACACAATCTGCACTTAAGCACCCCCGCGCACAATGAACGGGCATTGTCTAGACTTCACACCAGCGAACCATAACAACCCAAACAGAACAAACATCACACCACAAACCAAACAACACAACAACAAAGACAACCACAAAACAACCAACAAACCTACACCACCAAAACAACACGCACACAGCACACCCCCGATTGCCACCCCACGGCCAACGCTGGAACCCAGCCAAAAAAGCCCAACGGCGAAACCCAGCAATAGAAATCCTTCGCCAGCTCCGACCGCTTGAGATCGCAAACCGAGAAAATGCATGCCCCTCTCACAGTCCAAAGCTCCACGAGAACAACCACCCAGGCCACCAGTCCAAACCACCACACCGCCCAAGCCAGCCTGCAAACCACAGGCATCAGAACCGGCCCAAGACACCTCCCGACATCACCAAACACCGAATAAATACACCACCAAACGACTCCCACCACACACCGCCAGAACCGGCCCAAAACGTAGGAACCCACCGGCAGAAGCTTAACGCCAATACACCGGCAGAATCACCATCCTACAGACGCCGGCCACCACCTGCAACCACAACCCCAAACCCAAAACTAAGAAAACAGAAAAAAAACTGAAAAGGGAAGGGGGGAGCCAAAAGCTCCCACCCCCCGGCGAAACACAAAAAGGGCCGATCAAAACCAGGGTTAAGAGAGGCGAGGAAAAATTAGGAAAAAGAAACCAACGCCACAACCGGCAATCTCACGGGAGAACTGGTAGGGTAAGTGGAGAGTGGGGTAAAAGAAAAAGGGAAGAAACCTTCACAAAGGAAGGAGCCAACCTTCACTGAGGAAACCAAAGGAAGGGGTAAAAACCCTCACCGGCAGAGGATGGGAGAAGAACCTTCACACAGGGAAAGGACTATTCACTTGAACTCCTAAGCTTTGTGGTAAGATTTCATACGAAATGCTTTCTAAAACCATGCCACCTTATAAACATCTTTGTGTGTTTGGATGCCTTTGTTATGCTCACACAAAGATTGCAAATTGTCTGAATTTGCTACCCTCTATGTCAAATATGTCTTTTAAAAGTTTTGGTTTTAAGGGTTCGATTTTTTACAAAACAAAACTAAACATGATAAAAATTTCCAAACATGTTCTACATCATGAAATTCTCAAGTATTTGTACAGAGCATTACATGACATGCCACTTTCTCTAAATTGCTCGTTTATTTTCAAACTTGAACAATGAAAACATATAAAAAATTTAAACGGTGATCAACATTACATGACATGCCACGATAGATGTTTAAAGCTCATTTTCACTATACGTACTGCAACATTTTCTGTACCTCAAAAACTTGGGGATTCTCAAACCTCACTATCAAGCATGGTGGACGGAGGAACCCATAACGTCAATCTCGATTTCTCTATGATTTGTAGCTTCTGGTGGCTCTTCCCTTCATTCAACTGGGTGCTTCTCCTATACCTTTGAAACAGCTTTAGGACGCCTATTACCATTACCGCTAAGACGATCACAAGAGTGATTTTAATTGAGAGAGAGAAATGGATGATCGGTTTCTCAACGGGTCTGTACATATTAGCCAATAATCACATAGGTGTTGGGATTGTACAAGTAATAAACAAGCAACCAAATATTTCAACCCCTCTTTTGTGCAGAATTAAAATGACAATTATAATAATTCTCAGCTCCAATAACTCACAGACACTGCAAAAACTGAATAGTAGAACACAATGATTTGTTTAAGAGGAAGACCCTTCAGTGTGAATGGAAAAACCCTGGGACCTAATCCAGTTGAAGCCTTCCACTATGAAGAATAATGGGATACACAGTCAATCTTCTCCAGAACAAACTACATAGGCTACCAATATATCGAAAACACATAGTTCTTGGATAACAACAACAATATCACTCTAAAGTGGATACACAAAATAATAAAGAGAAAATCTCATTAAATGAGTATGCACTACCTAGAGAACTAAAGATAAATCTAAATAATCAACTCCAGTCAAAACGTAGCTCTCTCGCCAGGAATAACATACTGAAATTTCAGTATAATCAGCCCATAAATAAGCATCGATCATTGGCTGAATGGAATGAAATCAATTTTTGTTTCTCGCCCTTTTCCTACTCCGTCTTTCAGCAAAAGCCCTCTCTCACATTTTTTTTTCCTTGCTTTTAATTGGTTTTAGGACTTTAGGTGTGTTTGATGAATATTATTGAGGAAAGAATGTATTTTAAATAGTGATATGATGAGAAATATGTGGTTAAAAAGTAAAGAAAGGTTATTGATGTGATGAAAAATATTATTTTATTGAAGAATGTGTGGTTGAAAATGAGTTTTGAAAGAATGTACACTACAATAAAAATGATCATTTGCAACACTAAAAAAGCAACATTTGTTAATTAAGTGTTGCTAAAGGAGTTTATCGCAACATTTTAACAAGTGAATGTTGTCATTGGTTAACATAATTGTTTGACAACATTTTTTAAATGCATGTTGCTAATGTCACATTTTGCAACGTTATTAAATGTTGCAAAAAGATTCATTTTTTGCAACGTTTATTGAATTTTGCGAAAAGTTTCATTTATAACAACATTTAGTGAACGTTGTTACAACTCATAATATTCAGCATTTTGCAACATTCAATAAACGTTGCAAAAAATGTTTTCTTTTTTGCTACGTTTATTAAACGTTGTTAAAATCTGATTTTACAGCAACGTTCAGTGAATGTTGCTTAAACTCGTAATATATATCCTTTTGCAACATTCACTAACTGTTGCAAAAAGTTTAACTTTTGCAACGTTTATTGAATGTTGCGAAAAGTTTCATTTTTCACAACGTTTATTAACTGTTGCAAAAACGTAAATATTGTGAAAAATAGCCCATAACCCACGACCCAACCAAAGTTCACCCGGCCCAATTGTATTTTTCATCAAATCTTAATAGAGAAATGCTATATGTACACTTTGATGTACATCTAGTTTGACAACCCCCTCACATATGGGGTGGGGTTCGCATTTTTAAAAATTGCGGGCCCCATCCCTCATGTAAGGGGGTTGTCAAACTTTGGTGTACATCTAACCTTATTCATCCTAATAAAGCTTCTGCTCCCAATAGTTTATTAAATAATGCTGAACGTACATTCAGTTTGACAGCCCCTTGCATTAGGGTGAAGCCCGGGATTTTTAAAATTGCGGGCCCCACCCCCTTTGTCACCCATGATGTACCGTCGGTGGCGATCTTCTCACCCTGAGTCGCCTGCACCTCTAAGACAACACTTTGCCTCCACTCACCGCCGCAGGAAAGTATAGGTGCCCACTGTACCACCATCTCCCATTCATCACCTCTATAACTCTACTTTTGTTGCTATCATCTAATGTATATATCAAGCGTTTCTTCAGAAATGACACAACAGGGCTCTCGACTCATTTCTCAAACCCTCTCTCGCCTCTCCAAATGGAGTATAATCTCAGAATCCATTATGAAAACCCATCAAGTTTCTCGAATTTCATACGAAAATTTACAGCTTCGGTGCAGGAACCGAATGCAGGTAGCTCGGAGAAAGTATTAGCTATAGTAGATGAGATTTCCGGGATGACATTGCTGGAAATATCAAATTTGCCGGAAGTTTTGAGGAAGAAAATGGGGATTGAAGAAATGCTCATGATGGCGATGATGATGCCTGGGATGGGGTTTGGCCCAGGAATGGCAGGGCCAAAGGGGATGGCCAGTGGGGCTGGTCCGAAAGAGGAGGAAAAGAAAGAGAAGACATCGTTTGATTTGAAACTCGAGGGGGGATTTGATGCGTCGCCAAGATCAAGATTATTAAGGAAGTGCGGGCATGCATGGATTTTGGGTTGAAGGAAGCTAAGGAGCTCGTGGAAAAGGCGCCCACGTTGTTGAAGAAGGGGGTTCCCAAAGAGGAAACTGAGAAGATTATTGAGAAGATGAAGGGAGTCGGGGCTAAAGTCATAATGGAGTGAGGTAATTTACTAACTTGGTTGCTAGCTGCCTTGAATCCGAATCTATAAGATGAAATGCAACTGAATGAATTTGATTATATTGACATTTTTGTAATTGGAAAATTGAACAATTATATGTTGGGAGCAAATGTTTTAGTGCTGTGATCGGGTATAAAATTAGTGTTGAAAATCAATAGATGTAATATATAATTCTTATAAATCATAGCATGTGTCCAATAATAATAAAGAGAAATCATACCTTCAATAGTTTGTAATTTTCCATAGATTCTTTTGGGCTCCAATAGATTGACCATCCATATGTTCTTTAGGCTGCAAAGATAAAGAAACTATACTATGGAGAGAAATACTCTCAACCCCCTTCCTGAACCCTTGAAACCGAGAACTCTCTAGAAGATAAAGAGGAAAATGGTGTATGTCTCTCTATATAGAATTCAATAGGCCAATTCTATATTAAGTGGGGGTGACAGCAGGGCCTCCATATGTGTGTAATAAAAATGGCACATCCCATTATGAGCCCATTCACCAAAATGTAAATGCTCGTCCATATTTATAGAAATACAATACAACAATCTCCCACTTGGACATCATTACATTTTGTCACTACATAAATACAAACAAGCAAAGGTCTTGTTCAAAATGTGTCTACAAGTTCAAGCCAGTGAATGATATACCGACAGAATATACAACACATGACCAACACTTGAAATCACGTAACATAAACCAATGAAATGCAAAAGCAGTATGGAAAATATCAAAAATGATAAGCACATGTTTCCATAAGAAGCCCTAGAGACAAATATGAATGTCTTTAAAACGATAAGCCTTAACCAAAACACAGTTGTAGCATATAGCCTAATGACTATATCGACAGGGTATATGACACCAAACATATACTCATAACTGTCAGACTTACACATAGATCAAACACATATTGTCTCTTACAAGTAACACGCCTTGTCCATAATGCGCATGACTCAGGCATAAGACTAATCAAAATGTCTCAATACATAAATAAGCATTGCCTTGTCCAAAATGCGCGTGACTCAGGTATACATTAACATTGCTATATTTAAAGGACAAAACAGAATATGAGCATAAATAATATATTAAACTAGCAATGATTACAGAACTCCCACTAACTAAATACAACATAAGACTCTAACAATCCCAAATGAGTCACATGCTCCTGAAACAATCTTGGAGCTAAACCTTTAGTTAGTGGGACAGCTAACTGTCGAAATATGCTCAATACAAATATAAAACCCAGTTATTTTCTCTCTAACAAACAAATACTTAATATCAATATGCTCTGCCTGATAGACTTTGATGGCAGACAAAGAGAGAGACATAGCTACATTGCCATAAGCTGAGGAGAATACAATAAAAAATTTATCAAACATATAGAATGATAAATGTGTTCTCATAAATGTATACAATAGGCAACTTTATGTCCATGCTAGAGTTTTATTTAAAAATAAACTCTTACGCACTATGCTAGAGCCCACGACACATAAAAGGCTCTTACGCATGACAAAACAAAATAATTAAATACAATGACTTAAGATGATCCACTACCGAGAGGATAGAATTAGGTCACCAAGTGCCAATCACTTAACCATTATCTTTGTCATCCTAAGCATCCTACCAGATAATGGTTGACCGACAAGGCAAATACACTATCCGTATGGATCTTAGTGTAACGTAATTAAGCGGAAACATAAACAATACAACAATCCCGATAATTTATTATGACTAGTCCCGTGAGAGGTAGGTACATAGCCACTGCAAACCATCGGTACACAACAAAATAATATTATTCACATGGACAAAATATCTATTCATCTTAAAATAAATTATCCATTTCCCTTTTCTCCGATTAACAAATATGGAGTAATATCACAAAAATTCATAATCACATAAAAGGAAAACAATTTTGCGAAATAAGATATCAATCGACCATTAACCAATACCATAAAATGCAATACAAGAATAGTTTAGAATATCAAAAAACCCATCTAACAATGATTCAAAATTGAATGGTTAGGGAACTCATGTAAAAACCAACTTGGTCTTCCTTTTTGCTTTTCCTTTACTCAATTTCTGAAAATCCACATCAGTGACATTGGTATGTAGATAGATTACACCATTCTTCTCCCACTTACAGAGAGTTTTTATGGTACATTGTTTCGTCATAATTACAAGTTCGAAGCAAAAGATAAGAAAGAAAGCAAAACTGAATTCACATCAACAATTTAATCAGAGGAAAACTTTACCTCATTCCAATTCTCAAAAGGAGTCATATTTGGATGGACATTGTATTAATAGTTGTATTTAGTTCACTAAGTTCATATGCACATACAAATGCAGCAGTGCATCAGCAAACTGGTACCATAGTAAGATTTCTTATATCTTTGAGATTTAATAAAGGGGGAGACTGTAAGTAATCCCAGCTTATTGTACTTTCCTTATTGACTCCTCAATTAACTCAAAGATTACATAGAATTATCCTTTGACTATTTTTAATATATAATTACCTTTACTTTTGTCCTGGAATCTCCAGGTAAGAGGGTCCAACTCAGGCTTCCAACACCAATGAGTATTACACGAAAATTTACTAATAAAAAGACAACATGCTGCTGGGGTCTTTAATGTACTTGATTCACAACATCAAAAGCAATAGGTCCAAGGAAATTTGTCCCAGACAGGGTCAATACTTCACAAATAAAAATTGAACACGGCCATAAAAAATGAGAAGGTAGCTCTGATACCAATTGTTGAAAATCAATAGATGTAATATATACTTCTTATAAATCATAGCACGTGTCCAATAATAATAAAGAGAAATCATACCTTCAATAGTATGTAATTTCCCATAGATTCTTTTGGGCTCCAATAGATTGACCATACATATGTTCTTTAGGCTGCAAAGATGAAGAAACTATACTATGGAGAGAAATACTCTCAACCCCCTTCCTGAACCCTTGAAACCGAGAACTCTCTAGAAGATAAAGAGGAAAAGGGTGTATGTCTCTCTATATGGAATTCAATGGGCTATAATAAAAATGTACTTTTGCTATAATAAAAATGTATAGTCATTCAAACAAAAAAGATTAGACACAATGGAATGCTTAGGTTGTGTTTGTAAGTTTGAAAAATGAGTGCAATAGATGCGGGAGAGAAAAATCTATGCTTGACTTGTAAACTGATGATCAGAACTTTTAGATTAATTAGAAGGAAATTAGTCCGAAGAAGAACACTTTATTCATGTTTCCTTTTCTTATTTTCTTTTCCAAAGTATAGGTTTGATGTTTAGGTTAGAACTCTTCATCATTTAGGAGGATTCAGGTAAAACAGGATCATAATGGCCAAATTTTTTTTTTTTACTTGTTGGGGAACCGCTTAAAAAATTCGTTGTACTTGTTGGAAAGCTAGAATTCACCAACATAGCAGCAGAAATACTAAAGGACCCTATTCCTTTTTACGGGGGTGGGAAGGCGGGGAGGTGCAGCAAGAATTTCTACTTGACAACAATATGACGTGATCTAGTGTTTTTCTGTTGTTCCATGTCCATTTCAGTGCAGTAATGTACAAGTATGTACTGTACTACATGGTTTGTTGTGTTAGTAAAGTTTGGGGGAGGTGGGTGCATGTAATTTTGGTGCATACGTTCTGTGGATAAACTTTCAATGGTAGATCCAACGCATGTGCTGGGGAAACTTGTAGTTCTGTGTTTAGGATCTTTCATCTGAATAGATCTCATATGAAGTGGCTATTGGGTGGATTTAATTTTGTTCAATCTGTCTGCGTTGATCCGCACTTCAATGTTGTCATTAAGTGTTTTTGTTCACTGCTTGGATCTGGAATTTCTTTAGTCTAAAAGTTGCTGGATCTGATTGAATAGATATATTGCAAATTTTAATGTTTGGTTAGTCCAGGCTATTTCATTGTAATCAAGTGTTATCGTCTTGAATTTTCAATCTATCACAATTTCATTTCTTCAGCATGTCCATTTGATTTTACCTTAGTGTGATTCAAATCTAGCGAGCCCTGTTTTGGATAGTGTCAAAAAGACTGTACAAAGAAAGACAAGGATCATCTTAGTAAAGAAAGACAAGAAATAGAACGTAATGACAGATATACAATAGTGTTGTGACAAATGAAGTTAAGGAACTTTTTGGTTTCTGAGATCTCTATTTGATCAGTGATTAAAATTTGATTTAAATGGATTCATGAATATTATCTTGCCTTTTGTTTTGAGTTAAGGGTCTCTAGCATACAAAGTTTTTCATGGTCCACTTGCCTGTGATTTTTTTGAAGATGTAAAATTTAATATGTTTGCACTGTCAATTTTTATTGTTTCATGGTTCTAATATTATTTGATTGTTTAAATTTGATGAACCAGAAAGATGGCATCTCATATTGTTGGATATCCCCGCATGGGCCCAAAGAGAGAGTTGAAGTTTGCTCTGGAATCTTTCTGGGATGGAAAGAGCAGTGCCGAGGAGTTGCAAAAGGTGGCAGCTGATCTCAGGTCATCCATCTGGAAGCAGATGGCTGATGCTGGTATCAAGCACATTCCTAGCAACACATTCTCTTACTATGATCAGGTACTCGACACAACTGCAATGCTTGGTGCTGTTCCTGCAAGGTACAACTGGAATGGTGGCGAGATTGGGTTTGACACTTACTTCTCCATGGCCAGAGGAAACGCCTCTGTTCCTGCTATGGAAATGACCAAGTGGTTCGACACCAACTAGTAAGTGAATGGTTAAACCTCTCAATTTTTTTCTTCTTTCTTTTGGTCCACATTATACCTGTGATATTGAAGTACTGACTAGTGTGGTTCATTTATTAATTCAGCCACTTCATCGTGCCCGAATTAGGACCTGATGTTAAATTCTCCTATGCTTCTCACAAGGCTGTGACTGAATACAAGGAAGCTAAGTCGGTATGTTGTCCGCAAGACTCATTGTATATTTATGCTACTTGACTAGCCATTGTTGTCTCTTCTGATCCTATATAGTCTTTGAACTTGGTGGCACTAAAATTTTAAGGTCTGATAAGAAAATGAAAGATGTTCGGAGTTTTTAAATTTGTAATAGTGTATCCATGAACCTTTGACCACCCCCTTATGTTATGAAAAAATGCGAATAGTGATATTGTTGGTTTTTAGAATCTTCAATATCTTACATACTATCAACATAATGTTGCATTGTGCCATGTGTTTTTGTTATATAAATTAGTTAGATCTACAATCTATTT